GGCGGGGCGGGCTTTGATATTTTGAACCCGTATTTTGACGGACTTTTTAGCCCGCCCCTGCCTAATCCGCAGACTTTGACGAGGTGGGCTTGACGGTCCGGCAGGGGCCCGCCAAATGTATAAAAATTAAATTTTATATTAATAACATTAGTGTGTGTATATATATATATATATATATATATATATATATATATATATAAACTTTGTTTACAGTTCACTGTAAACTGTTACTAATTATATAATTAGTGACAGTTTACAGTGAATTGTAAACAAACTTTATATATATATATATATATATATATATATATATATATATATATATATATATATATATATATATATATAAAATCAAGTACGTTGTATAAATGATTTGTTATTGATTTATAGATTAACACATTATGTATTTAATTATTTATTACACCGTAGTTATTATTGTGTTTAAAAAATTACAAATGTATTAATATATGTTTAAACTATCTAAATTATTTTAGCATACCTTTATTACCTTTTTTATATTATTTTTATTTAAAATTAAATTTTTTAAAATTTGGCGGGCCCCCGCCAAGGCCCGCGGGCTAAAGGCGGGGCGGGGCGGGGCAACCTACCTTAGGGCCGTATTTTGGTGGGCTTTTTAGTCCGCGCTTTGGCGGGCCCCGCCCCGCCGGCCTGTTTCTACAGCTCTAGTTATACCATGGATCAGGATTTATATTGCATTGTAAATCTTCATACAAAAATTATGTACCTTCAAGTTTCAGTTAACACATTGAAAAACAGTCTAAACATCAATCATAAACAAGTGGATGCCATAAAACTACAAACGGAGAATGCTATGCCACACCCATATATCTACAGGTGCACATGCTAAGTCTAACTGAAACATCCATAACAACGTCAAAGTCTTGGCACACAGGCCAACAGTCTAATCAAACGGAAGGCAAGAATTACGCTATCTAGATCCACTAGCGCGCTCTCCAAGCTACTCATAACCTGAAAAACATAGGGATAACACCCGTCAGCGAGAGATGCCCGTCAGCGAGAGATGCTGGTCACCCACCAATGCGCGTTAAGTAGCATAATATATAGATATATTCAAAACCGTTTAAGGGAAGATGAATTAGGCCGATATCTTGGCGAAGCAAGCTTACAAGCAGAATGAAATCAGCAGATGGTTCGAGCACCCCCCTAGAGCAATCCAGCAAGCTTTAAGGGAAGATGAATTAGGCCTTTTGGGCAACATGAGCACTGTGAGGATTAGTTATTAATCCTGGATTTACTCCCCCTCCTTTTGGAAAAAAAACCAAGAGAGGGAAACATTAAAGGACACAACATCACGTTCTCAACAAAAGACCGATCATCAACCACAATACACAAGTCAACAAGGACAACAAGCACATTCTCAACATTAGACACAACCTACCATCTTAATGGTAGAGTTCTCAATAGACATGCTCATAAGCAATTAACACAACACAACACATAATGACAAGTTTCACGTTCCAACCTTATACCTTAGTACCACCCTTATGCCTACCCCCGACCTTATCTCAGTTCCAACCTGTACCTCCGAGTGCCACCCTGTACTTCTGAGTCCAACCTTATCCCTCCTGGGACCGTCGTCCCCCACCAATCTGCCGCCAATCAATACCGCCGATCTCTCAGTACACGAGGGTATCATTAAGTATCATAGTAACATATTGCCGATCTCGTGAGCAAAGCTTAAGTCACAATACCGCCAATCTCAATCATAATCACACATAGTCATCATCAAGAGGATTGAGGCTCATCAATAGCCCAATCAAGCATCAACAACGGGTACACAAATGTACAATATCACATTATAGACAGCAATCAAGAGGTTTCAATGATAGACATGAAACAATACTCAACAACAACAATGGACTTCAATCCAATATCAACATGATTGGCAACACAAGTTGCCAATCCTCAAAGGAATGGACAAACAACACATACTAGCATCAACGACATCATAACAAGCATGCTCATCAAACGGGTAAACCAAAATGGTTCCAGCGAACCTCAAAGACTCACATAAATCCAACGAATCACAAAGTTGGACCATAAGCACGATTCAAGACACCAAATCCTAACATGGAAACTTAGGACATCGTTATAGACATACGAAACATCAAGGAGACACCCAAAAGCTCAACAATCCAACACAAGGAGGTCAAAACATCACATACCAAAGGATGAAAACACAGGAAAATAACACCCGACACTCCACCATTAATGTACCCCGCGTGTGGAACCGCGGGTGGTTACCTGCCCGCAGTACCCCCCGCCGGGTACATACCTGCCACCCGCGGGTGGGGCGGCAGGTGGACATCCGCCCGTCGTTCCGCCCGCGGGGAACACCCGAGCCACAACAATTTTGCCTTCAGGGAAATTCATCTCCAAGGTCAAGTTCAAGTCCAAAACACTCCAAATCTCACATACAACAAGGAAATGACTTGAACCCAAGAATAGATCAAAGAATAGCATTCAAGAAACCTAGATACAAGCTCTAAACATGCATTATCACAAGATCATGCATCAAATCTCACATCAACATCAAGAATCATCAATAGAAGTCAAGAATCATCAATAACAAGTAGAAAATAGGTTTTGTATAGCATGAGTTACCTTTGAAGACCAAAACCTTCTTTCCTCTAACCCTCCTAGGCCCTACTTTGAAGCTCTTCTTCCTCACAGCCTTCTTACACAAGCCAAACCACAAGAAAACACCAAACTTAGATAAAGACACCTTAAAGCTAACTAAAAACACTAAATAACTTTAGATCTTACCCTTTCCTAAGCTTGGAAGATAGAAAAGTGGGATCTTGGGATGAATCTTTGCAAGGTTGGATGAGGTCTTTCTTGGCTTGGGAAAGAAGCCAAGTTTCTTAGAGAGAAGGGAGAGAAAAGTTGTCTTGCTAAAGTGAGGAAATGAACTTTAGGTTTGATAGGGTAAGGCTTCAAGACCAAGTAAGGGGGGAAAAGACCATCATACCCTTACTTTCCCTAGAAAGGCTTAGGAAGACCCCAAAGAATTAGGTGCAACCATCAAAGCTAAAGGTACCCCTTTTGATTTAAATCAATGACCCAAGGAGTTGGTCAATTTAGGTCCTCCGACTATCAATTTAGGAAATTGATTAGAAAGTCAACAAGGATAAATTAGGATTAATTACTCAATTAATCCTATTGAAAGGATATGATTTTCGGGGTGTCACAAACCGGCCTAAACGCGCATTCCCGACATTGACCAATGCGTCACTTGAACTAAACAAGGCTAGTTAGCTTGATATTCTCGAAGAATCATTCCCGACATTGATCGGCTAGTTAGCTTGATATTCTCGACCTAAACGTGTCGCCTGAACTAAACAATAATCGCAGTAGTACTTCGTGTCCTGAGATCAATCCCGGACCGAGGAACTTATGGACTTGGACCTCAATCCCGGACCGAGGAACTTATGCCGGACCGAGGAACTTATGGACTTGGACCTCAATCCCGAACCGAGGAACTTATGGACTTGGACCTAAGTTCCTAATAGTAACCCGACCACATCACTTGTTGGGTAGTAGTCAGGAATATCAATATACGTGGCTAGAAGGGCACTATTCTCGAGCCAATCGGTTGCATTTGCGACACTGGCTCGACATGTGTTCTCTTTTCCTCCACTATAAATACCACATCAAATGCACAGAGGGGAGGGGGGAGGGGGGGGGGGGGAGAGGGGGGGGGGGGAGGAGACTTTTTGGCACTTCTACCTACCACACTACAACTTGGAATCCTCCGACCTCATATCTTTACCCGAGTTCTAGATTAAGATTATAGGCAAACTATTAAGGGTTTATCTACGATTTGACCTCACGAGTTGTATGAATACTGAATACACGAATATAACTGTATTTGTCACATTAACTCCCAGATGTAATATTTTCTCTTTGAGCGTCATAAAGTCATATTTCACAGACATACAACAAAAAATGAGTTCCAATTTTATTGATGCATTAATTATGTTGAACGCCTAAATTTGACTTAGAGGGAAAGACTCCCACATATGCAAGCATATAACCTTAGGTGATGGTAGCATGTGAGACATGTTCTATTGCAGATTTGCAGGCTAGGCAAGATTGCTAGAGCAGACGAACGGTCTGCGATTAGGGATTAGATATTTGGATTTATTTCTTATTATTATTATTATTATTATTATTATTATCATTATCATTATCATTATCATTATCATTATCATTATCATTATCATTATCATTATCATTATCATTATCATTATCATTATCATCCTAATGGTATTCGGTTCGGTTTAATTTTTTACCGTTCTGTTATTCAATATATTACTGAACTGAACTAGTTCAGTTTGAAAACTCGAACCGAATTGTCCTCCTTCTTTTCATATGCGATTTAAATTACCTCTATTATCCTTATCTGAAGAGGCTATGGCCTCTTCATCCACCGACATCACCAAAGAAAAATATATGTGACCATTGAAGTGACAATGGCCTTCACTTGAGATGGAGATGAAAGTAGCAATGGCTTCTTCATCCAAATCTCAAGAGATCATGATCTTTTTATTTACTACTCGAGAGTATAAATGAAATACCATACTTTTGTATAATAAATAACAAATCATACAAAAAAGGTTAAATATATTTTTTTATAAGTACTGATTTTATCGTTTTTTTTAAAAAAAACTTATGTGATTCCAACTTCCGCGAACTAATCCTAAGTCCACATGACCCCGCCTCTAGAAGGTAAATTGGGAGTAACGTAATCAGCCCACCGGTAAGATTTTAATCTTCATGTAAACACAAAAAATCCAATCATAATGTTTAAGTCAACTACGGTGATCAATGAGAACGATGCTCGATTTTATTTATTTTATTTTATTTTTGAAAACCAAAGTAACTTCATTAAAGTAACTTCCGTTTATTTGATTAGAAAAGTAGGTGTAAGAGTTATTAATACTAAGGTCTCCATATATGCTAAAAAATTTGGTAGAATTGACGAGTTGTGATGAAATTAGAAAAAAATATTGGCGTCATAGAAGTCAAGCGATCCTATTGACTCTGGACGACGCGTCGACGCACATGCCGCCCGCCGGCAAAAACTGACCGGCCGCGCCAGCCCGCGGAACCAAGAAAAATCTTCCAATCCGACCGCCCTAATCTCCGAATTCAATCAAAGGAGAAACAGGAAACTGAATTCCCGCGATCCACAAATTCTCTCTCTCTCTCTCTAGATTCTTTCATTTCTGTTCTTCCTTATCCGGAAGAACACCGGCCAGCTACATACTCCGACAACCGCACGTATATACGTGCACACACGCGTGCCGCACTTGGGGAGAGAATCGGGAGCCGCTGGCCGTTGATTCGATCGGGAGATGTCGAAATCGTTGCCGTATTCGATGAAAGATGTGCACTACGACAACGGAAAGTTCCGGCACCGATCGGTGTCTAAGGTCAGCTCATTTCGCAGATCTCGTCCTTCCATTTCCGATTTTTCAACTTAATTTCGTATTGAGTCTGTTGTAATACAATTTTTATGGGTTTGAGTTCAATTCTACGTTGCGACATTCCTTTATCTATTTCTAATGCTTGCTTTGGAGAGAAGGAGGGGGAAAAGTTCGTTCGTAGATTTATATGGTCACCTGAGAGTACAAGTGTAACAGTCTGCAAAAGATATTGATGAATACAATTTACAGAAGCCCGATAGCTGAATTAAAGGGCAAAAAAAGATGGATGCAGTGTTGTTAGTGTGCTGCAAAATACTTGTACCTGGAGCTGTTTCAGCTCAATGGTTTGAAAGGGCATCTCCACTTCTATGTATTCATGTTTTCATACCATGTGGAAAATTTGTTTAGAAAATGGAGTTTTTACCTTTCAAGAACCTTTTTTTTCCCCTTAATTTCTTATCAGAAAATATCAAATTTCATTGTCAACCATGGGTGGTTCTTGCCAGAAAATCTGTAATTCATTTTTCCCTTGTTACCAATGAGGTGATTATAGGGAGAAAATCCATGATTTCATCTATAAAACCAACTGTTTTTGCTGTTTGCAACCCTATGTGCCTGCTAATATTGTGATAATTTGTTATATATACTCTTCACTCTCCACCAAACTTCATTTATTTTGTTCTATTTCTACAGGCAATTTCTCAAGCACTCTTAACCAGTAAGGTTAATCCGGAACATGTAAAATGCAGCACAGGGAAATTTCTTGGATTATTATTGATTGGTGGTTTAGTATGTCTCATGATGACCCACGCCAGTACCCTTCATTCTGTCTCTCATGATATAGCAAAAAATGGTGAGTCTAAGGAAGGAAGAAATTTCATTGCTGATGGAAGAAATCGACTTAATCGTCTTCTGAGAAGACCTCCAAGGCTCCCACCTAGGTTATCTCCAGATGAAATGGTGGTTATCAGCAATAAATCTACACTTGAGCACCCGAACTCAAGCAGTGATTCTAAATGGCAAGCAAAGCAACAAAGAGTGAAGGACGCATTTGTTCATGCATGGACTGGTTATAAAAATTATTCAATGGGTTATGATGAACTTATGCCACTGAGCCATCAGGGAGTTGATGGTTTGGGAGGTTTAGGAGCTACGGTTATAGATGCTTTAGACACAGCTATGATAATGGGACTTGACGAAATTGTAATGGAAGCAGGCTCATGGATTGAAAACCATCTTCCTGAGAGGATAAATGGGAAAGACCAAGTAAATCTATTTGAAACTACAATACGTGTTCTGGGTGGTCTTTTGAGTGCTTATCATTTGAGTGGTGGGGAACAAGGGGGCAATGTGTTACACAAGGGACCTAAACCAAATATCTATCTGGAAAATGCTAGGAACTTGGGGGATCATCTTCTCTCTGCTTTCACTCTAAGTCCCTCTGATATTCCCTTCAGTGATGTAGTTTTGCATGATCGCTCTGCACATCCTCCTCTTGATGGTTTGAGTAGCACAGCTGAAGTTGCAACTCTACAGCTTGAATTTAATTATCTCAGTTCTGTAACTGGTGACCCAAAATACAGTTTAGAAGCCATGAAAGTTCTCCAGCATATTAGAACTCTACCAAAACACGAAGGACTGGTCCCCATATTCATCAAGTATGTATTTACTGTTCCATTCAGATCAAGACATGCACCAACCCTAAACTAAAAAGATCAGGAATTTATTAAACTATCTTTTCTATGATTTTCATAGGTGCAATGTGCAATGCTATGATTTACTTCTGAAGGATCTCAATAGTCTAGTTTTTCAGGATTAATCTTAAACATTATGTGGATCCTAACACCACGTTGTAATTTACTGTGTTGATCTTCTCATGATTGCAGCCCTCAATCTGGAGAATTTAGTGGAGAAAATATAAGACTTGGATCTCGTGGTGACAGCTATTATGAGTATCTTATTAAAGTGTGGCTTCAGCAACGAGGAAGTAACTGTTCGTACTTGTATGATATGTATATTGAAGCAATGAAGGGTGTTAGACATCTTCTTGTTAAGAAATCTGTTCCAAATGGGTTGGTGTTTGTTGGAGAGTTGCCTTTTGGGTACCACGGTGAATTTAGTCCAAAGATGGATCACCTGGTATGTGCTTTTCTATGTTATGTTTATAAATCTAATATTGAAAGATGAGAGAATGGAAAATAGTCAATAGATTAATGGTTGGCTACTGCATTGCTACTTCAATCATCAATAAGAAGTTACCTTATATTTATTCTCTCCCTTAAAATTCTTTCCATTGATTGCTTCAACTATTGACATCATGTCATGTGTATGACTCTTGCAAACATGTTCCTTATTTTTCTTTATTTCAAGTTAATGCTATACAATTTGTATTCAAGAGAAGATCTATATGCCAATTATGTGACTTGCTTGTTCATCTTATTTGTTTATCTAGTTCTTAACAGTAGTATTTTAGGCTTAGCAAATTAAGTGCCCTAAAATAATAGCTGTAACAATAAATACTTTGATCTCTTCAACCCTCCACCACCCCCTCAACCAACCAAGCAACACCCAAAAATGGAAATGGAAAAAGCATTTTTAGATTTTTGAAGTATGCTTTTCAGGTAGTGATGGCCTATACTAGTATTTTCTTCTAGATGTTACCCCCTACCATACCAAACATGCTTTGACTTGTCAACACTGCCATAAGGTTTTTTTTTTTTTTTTTGAAAATTACTGCCATAAGGTATTAGGGTGTGAAATTACTTGATTTGTTTTTGGATATTTATTATTCTAAAAGAGATGAATAAATAAAATCCTTGTTTTCTTAATGAGTTTTTTACTGCATCACCTTCCTTTTTAGGTTTGTTTTCTGCCTGGTACGCTGGCAATTGGTGCCACAAAGGGTCTTACAAAAGAAAAGGCTATGAGGGAGAACTTGCTCAATTTTGAAGATTTAGAAAATCTGAAGCTCGCAGAAGATCTTACCAAGACCTGTGTTGAGATGTATTCTGTGACTTCTACTGGTCTTGCTCCAGAAATAGCTTATTTCAATATGGAGGTTGGTTGGACTAATCATTTCCTTTTAAATTTACGGTTCAAAGACCAAGCAACCAGCCAAGAAATATGTGATTGAAAGTTGCATTTATTCTTAATTCTATAAATTTCTCTTCTCCCTTTTCCTTTCCTTTCCTTTCCTTTCCTTTCTAGGACAGTTTGTTGACTCCCCCTGAGATTTATGTGAATTGGGCATAACTTCTCACATTTCTGAGTTATACCCCATTGCGGTCAGAATATTTCGCCCAGAATGCATGTAAAAAAAGTTTAGACTTGAAGAATACTAGGAAATTAAGCCTAATAACATGAAATGAAACTTCCCTTGCAAATAAAGGTTCTTTCTTCTGACCTCTTTCCTGTCTGCCCCCATAGTGCATTTTATGTTAGCAGTTTTATTTTTTTCCAGTTCCATTCTAATTTTCCAAGTCTCATTACCATAACATAAAACCTATAATTTTTATTTTTCTATCTTAATATCTCTCCCTTTCTAATCAGGGAAATTCTGGAGGCCCTGATGGTGGAAACAAAAGCTCAAAATATGTGAACGACATAATCATAAAACGTGCTGATCGTCACAATCTTCTGCGTCCTGAAACTGTTGAATCATTGATGATATTGTATCGTATCACAGAAGATCCAAAGTATGCTTTGATACCCTTTTCCAAGTTTGTTATGGGATTTCTTTTGTTCTCTCCGAATCTTGGCAAAACATGCGCTATATGGATATACACTTCAATAACTAACAGTTCTGTTGATATGTCATTACTTGTACAGATACCGTGAGTGGGGCTGGGAAATTTTCGAGGCCTTTGAGAAATACACAAAGGTCGAGTCTGGAGGTTACACTTCTCTTGACGACGTTACTGTAATCCCTCCCCGGAGAAGAGACAAGATGGAGACCTTTTTCTTGGGCGAGACGCTAAAATATCTGTACTTGCTATTTGGTAGCAGCGACGTAATCCCCTTGGATCAGTACGTATTCAACACAGAAGCTCATCCCATTCCGATCAAAGGAACTGCCAAACATCAATGACATTCTACTTTTGAAGAAATTTGTGTTTTTGGTGAGAGCGAGCTCGGGTGGAAATGGCGAGCGGTTTTTATGCTGCAGGCACAGAAGAATGTCATTTCTGCCTGTTGTTGAGTGTTTAGTCACACTGAAATCCAAAAGGGGAGGGATGGGGTTTTAGGGCATTCGGATTACAACAGTTTTGTATGATATTTATGCTACACATATATTTTCTTTCACTGAAACAATTAAACAGAATTTTCTTCCCTGTGTAGCCAATATTTACTTTGGCTTATTGGTGAAAAGAATCTGTCTTTTGTAACATTATGGTTGGACCTTTTAATGTTAGTCTTTTAGGCATTATTTTTTGACACACTGTTGTAATTTTAATTATCTTTAATAGGTAATTATACAGAGGGTAAGATAATGTATTTTATAAGTTAGAATAATGTACTTTATGTGTTCGAATAATGAAATTTTTGAGGTAAGATAATGGAGTTAACACCTCCAATAGTCCTCCGAGTATTAGCGATTTACCAGTTGTGGTCATCCGAGTTATAAATGACCTGCAATGGTCCTCTATGTTTTAAAAAATAACCACCCGTGGTCCTCTTAAAAAAACCGGAGTTTAAAATGATCACGAGACATCATAAAAGGATCACGGGTGGTTATTTTTTAAAACATGGAGGACCATTGGAGATCATTTAAAATTCGGATGACTAGAGCTAATAAATCGCTAATACTCGAAGGACCATTGGAGGTATTAACTCTAAGATAATGTATTTTATGAGTTAGAATAATGTACTTTATGTGTTAGAATAATGTATTTTATGAGTTAGAGTAATGTACTTTATGTGTTAGAATAATGTATTTTATGAGTTAGAATAATGTATAATGCACTTTATGTGTTAAAATAATGTACTTTATATGTTTTTGAACCATGATTCACACAGCTGTGTAGATTACAGTTCACGCAATAATGATTAATTGATGATCCTCCCACTTAAGAGGTCGGTGAATCACCTTAATTTATTCCTCAATTATCCTATTAAGGTCGAGGTAAGAGGACTTTTGGGGTGAAAATTTTATTGAAGAGCGAATACCATCTGCCTCTAAAGTGGAAGATTACAGAACCAGGTTTCTACTAAAACCATATTTGAGAATGAAGCGTACCTCATTCAACATTGATATGAAGAAGAGACTCTTGAACTTATATACAATCGTAAGAATAAAAAATTGTTTCGTGTGTATAATCATGAAAATTTGAACAAAGCGCTCCTCACAAAATTGATCATTACTATTCTAACTATTTTAATTTTACTCATATTCCAGATGGAGCACGGAGCACCTCGCAAAAAATATTTTTCGAAAAATAATTTAATTTTCTAATGTTTGTTTGAAGGTCAGCAAACTATCTTTTTCTATTTGACTAAAATTCACGAAATCATATTTTTTCTAGGGAAAATGGTCAAACAAACCCTTTAATGGCAATTTTCTAAAACAACCAGATTCTAGACATTTTCCAAAGATATTTTGATCTGGTCATTCCGCATCCCTAGTATTACGTTTGTTTGGTGCACTTATAAATTTTACTAGGGTTTTTCATCATCTGGGCGAATGTCTGCATGACATAATTATTCAAGCTATTTCAAGAGTGACAATGTTTCTTTACTAGATCTAGTATTATGATTCATATCTTTTTAATCGACAGATCTCCTACACTTCTAGTATCAAGGAGTATCGGTATATTTGGTCCAAGTTTAGGGAATGTATATGGAACATAGTCACTCTTTTTATAATCAGTATGATCAATAGATATATTTGACAGATTATTTGCTAAAAAAGCAAATTGATATCTTTTGAAATTTTGGTTCAATCTAACTAGTACGTGGATTTGAAATACTGAAGATGAAGATATTTTCATTCCATGAAAGGTCTCGGCATTTTATTAAATTTGGGCTCGTATCTTCCCTTATGTCGTGAACCGATCTTCATAAAGTATGCAGTCAGCGTACCAAATTATATGCATTGATCCCCTATCATGGGCTCTTGGTATTCAAACAACATACGGAGATTTATATGATAGCCCTTTAGAGGTACGCTATTGTGATATATGAAAATAGACTACATACTAAAATAGTAACGCAGATAGGAAAATGTTTATGTTGAAACCACGTACTAGGTGAAAAGATGGTATAATTGCGATATGCTGTGAGTTAGACTTTGGTAACAAAAAACTTGACACATAGTAACGTCATAGCACTCCTTCGGGGATTGATGGGATAGGTAGACCATTTTTTGGTCAAGAATTCATTGTCAAGGTTCATCCTAAAGGGTGACTTAGAGAATTAAAGTTTTAAATCTACCTTCTGAGCAAATAAATATACAAAAACAATATGAGAGCTATAAATTTAAATATCATATACTCAAATCTCATGTCAAAGAGTTTCTATAGTAGAAACTAGCACTATAAACATGTCATAGCCTTTAATTGTTATCACATCAAAATCTCAATTGAGTCATGACATTTATTGAATAAAGAGTATCATGTTTGGTAAACATAAGACATGACATGATAAGAGATATTCTATTAATTCATAAATCTTAGAAAATAAAATGAGAGAAGTACCGTTCGCCAAAGGATAACGAGCACATGTTCGCTGCCGGGCCCATTTATTCCTATTTCGGGGAGTCAGAAAAACACTTTTCCAAGCAAGCTCTCATTTTATTTCATAGTTTCGTACAAGCATAAAAAATAACAACATATACTAGCTGAAAACAGCAACAATTTTTAGAATTTTGACCTGAATTGCAGAATTTTCTGGGGAAAAACAGTAACACATTTTGACACAAAATTTTGTAGGTATGTAGTTCAGCAAGTCTAGAACGTACATAAAAATTTTCATGCCAATCCAAGGTCTAGAAGTATTTTCGTGAATTTAATTTTCAAACTGTGCCGGTCAGAATTTTCAAGCAGTGATTACTATGTAAAAAAAAATTATTCACAATTTGTTTGCTTCAAGCAAACCAGCATGATGTGAGTCAATTTTGACTTTTGGAGAGTAGCATAGCATTAGAAATAGAAGTTGCAAACTTCATTCATGATTCGTTAGTCACCTTAAAGATCAATCCCGTTTGAGGTCTTACAGACCTTATTAGGAAGTAGCCCAATAATGGACAAATACATTGTCAAGTATGGGAGATTTAAAATTCAGAGAGTATGCTCTCGCAAAAAGGAAGCTAAGTTTTTGATATCTTTCAAAAAAAATAATGACATTCAAAACACTTAGTATAATTTGTCATGTACTACTACTGGAGTACAATGTGACTATCATAAATGACGCGCAAGATAATGAGTGACAAATAAATTAGTGTTCTTAGTTTTACCTTCTGGGCAAAACTATATTAAAAATTAGGTACTATTCTTTTGTTTAAATACTCAAATTTGATATTTATTTCAATGTCAAAGACTTATGTGAACCAATGCAATAATAAATTAGCACAACCAATAAACTTGAATTTGGACAAATAACAATTGACTTTTAAATCAATACCAAGTCAATTTTACATTTGGGGAATTTGTCCTAGTGCTATTATCATATAATATTAGTGCTATAAATTCGTCTTATAGGAAAAACTATATTCAATATTTATGCTATATATCACAATATTTAAACTCATATCATCTACTCGATATCACGAGATCAAATTAAAATTTAGCAACGACAGGTGCAACCTAACAATGAAAACCATATTGAGAATTCATGCTATTGTCTCACTTATAAGTTGTGTGATAAAATTCAACAACTATAGCTTATAGAAAACAATTGTATCATATTCTAATCAACATGATCGATAGCATGTAATTGTATTTTGAGTCATGCACATACATTATCAATAAATGTGTACGTAGTGGCATGTACGATGTGTACAGAACATGGCATGAAACGGTATTTCTAGGGGTGACCGCGGTTCCGGTTCCGCAAATGGACAAACCGGAACCGGAACCTTATAGTAAGGTTCCGGTTCAGAACCGGATTTATTTAAAAAAAAAAAAAAAAACACTATAATTTTTAATTTTTTCCAGTTTGGAACCAGAACCGCCGGTTCCGGTTCCTTTTCATCTCGAACCTTAACTGGAACCATATTGGTTCCGGTTCGGTTCCGGTTCTAGTTTAATAGTGCACGGTTCGGTTCGAACCGAATCGTGGTCACCCCTAGGTATTTCTCATTAATATATCCATAGATTAAGAAAAGAATATGAGAAAAATACCGTTCACCGAAGATAATGGACAAATGGTTGTTGTGCCTAGCTAAGCGCTCGTTCAGTGTTCTTCGGTCTAAGGGCCAAGATCTACTATTTTATTAATGCTCTCACTGGTAAAAGAACCAGGTTTGATGAAGAAATGCCAGGGAAAGCCGGACGTGAATGAAGACGGATTGGAGCTCGTCTTTATGGAGCTGAGACGGAAAGACGCAAAAAAGGGCAAGATTAGAACCACCGTCACAATAACTAGTGGTCTACGATAGAGTGAAGAACCTTCCATCACCACTAAGGCTCCAAACACACTACACGTATACATACACAAAATACATTGCACAAATTGCTCAACAAAACAATTGTAGGTTCAAAACACTTTGGATATTTGTTTGAGGATGGTCTATCTCTTGATAAAAGTCGTACTTGTATTCTAAGGATCCAAACATATATATAATGCAGAATCATGAAGGGTATTTAAAATAATGAATGCTCCAAAAGACTTTAGCTACAAGTACACTAGACCAACCACCGCTAACTCATAACCCCTATTATCGATGCTTTGAACTACCAAAATTTGCAATAATAGATATATATGTATGCAGATATACTTATATGTGGCAAGCTAATTTTACTTTGATAATGGATTTATAATATGCATACGCTATACTCCCAGGGTTTGTACCAAAGTCAAACCATGCGAATATCATGCAAGATTGCATGAATTAAACAAAAGGTACTTAGCTTTTAGAGAATTAAAACACTGCCTAGGGAAAAATTGCCAAACCAAGAATTGCAGTCATCGACGGAAGAAGCTGCGACAAATTAAAGATTGCCCAACGGAAATGATGTGCGGCTTGTGGCCTGGAATTAATCAACTGCCATGCGCCCAGAAGAAATTCCACCGAAGTCGCGGTGTCACCGATTCACCAAAGGGAACCGAGTTGTCGTTGCCATCGTCCATCGACTGGTTTTGGACGGAAGAAGCTCGTTTGCTGCAGCGATTGACACAACCAGTCGCAACCAGCGATGGACTGCGATCTTCTGAAAAAACCAGTCGCAACCACACCGAGGACATCGTCGCTGTCTCATTCTTTGTCAGCCTCTCTCTGTTC